CATAGCCAACAGTATTCTTCAGCCAAGAGTGGGTCTCAAAGAGATTTATCTTCTCCCAAGTTCTCATTCATTCAGAATTTGCTGATATATTTTATCCACCCAATGCACACTGATTGAGGACCCTCACCTGCCAAGAATTTTGCAAGGAGCTGGAAGTATCTTGATAATCACAGCTGGGGCACTCAGGGAACTTAGCCCTGGGAGGGAAGCCAACATACTCTAAGGGAGGCATCATTTCAAACTGGGCCAGGAAGCGGTTCTCAAAGAGTGGAAGACCTCACTCAGCCTGCAGTGTCAGCGAAGACTTCCCTCAGTAAGTGACACAGAAAATTGAGTGGAAAGTCCAGGTGGAGCACTTAGAACTGCATTTCCAAGATTCCTTCTAAAAAGGGAATGGTTAGATCCTGCAAGGGGAGATACTTGTCTCAAGACTTTGAATGTTGACCAACAGCACGAGGTAAGGGCAGAGAGAAGAGAGTAAAAGGGCAGCCATCAGCAGAGTAGATATCTGACCAGACAGTGATTATGAGATCATGGCACTGCCTGCCTTTCCTTGGTCTCCTAGAACTGTCCTGGCTCTAAGGAGATTCCCTTAATCTGGTTCTACCGGCCAAATAGTGGGGCTCTGGATATTCTTGCAATAAATTCCATTTTGCCTAAGATATCTAGAATTAGCTTCTGCTGTTTGCATTCATCAAGCTGTTTTCTTCTGGTTACACACCACATTGTTTTCCACCAAACGTATTTATAATTATGCATGTCTATCTCCCCAACCAGACTGTCAGCTGCTTGAGTACTGGACAACGTATCATTTCTCTTTGAACCTCCAGGATTTAGAGGAGTGAGTGACTGATACATAGGAAATACTCAGTAAATGCAAAATGAATATGTCTTTGCACATGTTCAAAATATTAGGAGGTTGGCCAATAATAAATACAAAAGTTCAACTGAATATTTAAACAGAGAGATTGGTCGAGTCAAAAAGTCCTCATATCTTACATCAATTTTACACCAATGTGCAAACCTCTATGTTCTGTAGTCATCTTCTCAGATATTACTTTTTTTTTATCAATTTCATGAAGAAACCCAGTATACTAATAACCATACTCCTATAGCATACTTACCTCTGAACGTATAGTCATTCAGAATTTTCACTACCACGCTTCTGGATGGGTAGGATAAAGCTGCTGCTGTTGGCAGGTCCATGGCATCACTGCCAGGAGCCACCTCCACTCACCTCTCTCTGCCTTTTGCAGCCCTTGGGGCAATCCAGGAAGCCCAGTAGAGAGCTAGCAGACTTGGCTTCCAGAGAAATCACCATCTGTTTTCCTACCCCTAATAAATAAAGTGCCTCTGCTCCATAAATTCACAGTGCTTATAGAACCGCAACTTTGAATGAAAATGGATATCGAATTTTTGTTCGGTTTAATGGCTTTTTTAAAAAATATCTTGGGCAGTAAGTTTATGCTGCAAGAATCTATGGGCTGCGTAACAGAATTTTATCTGGTTCAAATAATACTGCCATGTCCTAAAGCCCTGGGCATTAGACACTTTCCAAATGTACAATGTCGTCAACGTTTTATGACATTTCCTACAAAAATGACTCAATAATCAGGTAGCACTTCATCAACTGCAGTGTGAATTCAGGTATCAGAGCAGAATGCTATGCCTGCAGCAGAAAAACTGTGCTGCTCCTCTGACTTCAGTATCACAGCCACTAGGGGATATTCCACTAAACGGTTTTCATCCATGCACATTTTTGTCCTCTTATAAAAGAATTCCATATCTTGGATTATGGAGTAGAGTCAAAAAATATCATGGTAGGACTAAAACTCCATTGTTGATGACTTCTGTTTTCCTACAAAAGCTTAATCAGAGATATTCTGCCACGTGGGAGGAGTTCTCCATTTATTCAACTTTACTTCCTTCTTCAAGTAGCAAAATGGTTACAGTATCAGGCCCATGCCTACTGCCCAAACATGTGACCTGTCCATGTAACTTATGTAGGACACAAGACTTCTAAGACCCAGGGCTCTAAAAGCAAAGCTGAGAGATACGAGGTGCAAGTATAGCCTTGCCAGGTTACCCATGGCTATGAAAGGAGCATACCCAGTTCTACTGGCATCAAAACACAGTGCTGGTTGCCAGAGAGCCTATGAGAAAGAAATATTAAGTAATACTCCACCTCTGACATTGACATAAGTTCATTATTCTTCCATGCCAACCCACCCTAAACCAAAGGTTATGCTGCTCCAATCCAGGTCTGCTCTACAACAGCCAAATATGCTGAATTTAGTCAACACTTAAAGGGTATTCAGTTCTAAAGACAATGCTTCATCAGCCTATTAGCTTCTGTATCATTTCATTTTGAGTTGGTTACTGAACTCTGTGTATCACTTTAGGGATTGTTTCTCTTTGATTGCAGTTATAATAGAACTCCTGCCCCTTCACTATGTTGCCAGTGCCTCCCCAAATGTATTGGTAAACATTTAGTGAAAAAAACTCAACGGGAAACAACCTCTCCAAATATACATGAAATATTTCCAAACTCGTTATATACATGGTTTAAATAAGTGGAATTGTGACCATCCTGCCCAAAGGAACTCTGATGTATAACAGACTTTGTTCTAGGGCTTTCAAACTGGTTCCCAAACCTTTGAGTCTCTCTGTGGAGAAAAGTATAGAATTTTACAAATTATGCACATTAGCAAAAGTGATCACTTGCCACCTAGGCATGGAGAGTGCCTTTCTGAAATTTTTACTGAGATTATTTTTGCCAAATATTTCTCAGGAATGAGAGTGTTTAGTCTCACCTCCTGGCAAAACAAATGACTGTGATGTGCTTCCTCGATTCATTCTCACACATGGTGTCATCACCATAAATCTAGAGTTCCAAAGGAAATAAGGCTTTTTCTCTTAATTTGCAGTAACTGTTTTATCCTCTTTTCCCAAAGACAATTTAAAAAAAACTTCTATCTAGACCGTATGACCTTGGGCAGGCCTACCATAAGCCTCAGTATCCCTCAGTTTCTTGGGGTTAATAATTTCACGTGCCTTACAAGGTTACGGTCAAAGGTAAGTAAGTAGTGCATGTGATGAGCATAGCAGAGGATCCAGCATACAGTGCTCAACATTAGTTAGGTCCATAAATGTCAGTTTTTGTCATCATTCTCTGCTTGATATTTAAATGAGGAGAATTCTTTTGAATCCACCATCCATTTTCCAAGAACTTCTGCTTAGCTGTTTCTCTGCTAGTCCCACCTGCTCTAGAGAGCCCTTTGATTCAAGGGTCCTCAGTCCTCTCCTCCCAGCTCTCTTCTAGTTATCTATATCAATTAGCTGGAACTTCGAAGGGGGAATCCAATGACCAGGGCTGTGTCTGCAAAGGTCTTGCCAGAAATGAATTAAAAATACGATCCATGTGAACATCAATATCCTGAGAGTGAGGATGGAAGCCACTGGGAGTTGAGACAGTGTCATGGGCGTGCAAGTTGTGCAGCTGCACAGGGCCCCACTCAGAAGGGCCCCATGTTGGTTTAATGCTCTGCTATTACCCCTTCCTGAAATTCATAATAAAGGGGTAATAAGGGGAAAAAAGGGGGAAAAGGTGGCCCCACATTTTGATTTTGCACTGGGCCCCCTAATTATGTAGCTGGTTTTGACTGGAGTTTTGATTATAGTTTGGTTTTATGTTAAAAGCATTGCTCTAGCTTCTGTTCTAAAAATAGGCTGTAGGAAAGGTGCAGGTAGGAGCAGAAAAAACAGCTAGGATGCTGTTGATATAAATAAGGTAAGAGATGATGGTGGCAAATGACACCAAAAGAAGAGGCCAGTTAGATTTCATTTGCAGCTGCAGCACAGGTCACCGGCAATGTGCCTGCCCATGGCAGTGTCCTTGCCAGCCAGCCCCTGCTGCCACCACTGGCTCCCGTCCAGTTTCCATGCTGGCTGCCTGTTAACCTGAGAACCCTATGCTTTACAATCCATTTTCCCGAAAGAGTAGGTGTTGGTTTCTCTTCTTACCGACCCTTTTCCTAGGGAAAGGCAGGGGACCCCATGCATGGTCCCACCAAAACTGTATACTGTAGCAAATGGTAATTCTCTAAAAGGAAACCAGGCGGCTGTCACAAAATCTGGATCCCCTACAATGGAGAGAATAAGCTGCTGAAAGAAGGAAGGAAAGCAGGGCCCTAATCAGGTCATGCCTCTTCTGTGTTAGGTCACGGTAGTCAGAGTTTACTATACATTCTCCATTGACTCCAATTAAGTAATGGATGTAAACATTACCCCTCCTAAAATCTGTATGGGTTTGGCAGGATAAAATATACTAAAGTTTTTATAAACACAAAATGCATCTAAAATAACTTTTTTTTTCCCACAAGACAACAGACTTATTTTATTGTATAAATCTACTCTCCTCAGTTTCTTTTCTGGGTTTGACAATTCTTATAAGATTCTACAGATCTGAAATAATAACCATTGGAATGCCTAAAAGTATTCTTTTCTCACATAAGACAGATTTGTTACTTCTTTTTTTTTTCAGTTTTCTTTTTTTTTTAATTTTATTTTTTTCAAATACATTTGTCTCTGCCTACCCCCCACCACTTAAGACCCACAAAATACTTAGCTTACCTGTCCATAAAAGGAAAGATTAACTTTTTGCACTTTTTATTATTTTAGACTTCCATCTAAATTTGTACAATTATCTCTATGCTTAAGCTCTCAAATGAAAAAAATCATCCTATTTAGTTTTCAGGTAATCAAATAGAATATTCAACAGGCCATGCTAAAAATGACATGATACAGCCACAAGCAAGTTCAATACCTGTAAGTTAAAAGATTTTATATCTTCACCTAAAATTCTTTAAGAATAATTTCTTCTTTTCAGCATGCTCAAAACTGTAAAACAATGTCTCAAAAAATGTTCAAAAATGTCTCTGAAGTTACAAAGCATTAATGGTACCAATTCCCAACCTAAAGGGTTTCTGCCAGCTACTCACCTTTTTCTGGAGAACATTGATTTTTCTTTCCTTCACTTCTAACATATCCTTCATGTCACGAATCTCTCCGGCCAGTGTCCCCTTCTCTTCTGTGAGGTCCTGCAGCTGTTTTGTTTTTTTATTGAGAAAAGATTCTTTCTCTTCCAGTCGTAATCTCAGTGCATCTACCTGAAATCAGGAAGAAGAAAGAAGGTGGTGGTTTTATACTGAGGTCACCAGTAACCATCGGTCCAGCCTTGGGAGGAGGCGGGCCGCGGCGGCCTCCTGAGCACAGCACCACCACACCGCCGCTCATGCCTTTCAACAGCCTTGATCTATTTTAAAGTCCCATCATGTTATGTGTGTGTCTGATCAGTAACACATTTTTTTCAATACAAGTTATTTATGAAATCAGACATTATGAAATAATAGTGTGTCCCCACACTGTAAAACCGTAAGCTGCAAAACAAAGCACACCAAACTTCTGTGTCTTTGAGTTCCCAGGGAGGGCACAGCGCTGCCCGCTCTGCCACACCCTCCAGGAATATGGAGAACACAATGAGCCATGCCACAGACATCTGGAAGAACAAGGTTGGAGTGCAGCGAAACACTCCTACATTAGAAAAATACATGTTGCCAAGAGAAAACAAATGCTGCTATAGAAAAAAATGTGGAAATGACACCCATTCCCAAGCTTTATGGAAGACTACTTTATGAATAATAAAGGAAAAAAGTCAAAACATACAAAAAAAATGCCTATTTCTACCTTGCCTCAAAAATTAGATTATTACAATTCCTGCTTTTTGTATGTCAGTAACAAAATGAGGGAATATAAGCTTTATTTTTTTCTGAAGACCACCAAAAATTACATGGGTGATGTGCAGTGCTGGGGTGATGGAAGACTTTAATCCTCGTGCTTCAACCCAGAATTTGACAGACAGTAGCTTTATCAACAATCAGGAAGTAGTGATACTGGCATGTTATTTAGAGACAACCTTTCATAGGCCACCCAACTGGGGACCAAAGCAGCAATGCAGGCATGTGCCCTGACTGGGAATCAAACCAGCAGCCTTTTGGTTTGTGGGATGATGCCCAACCAATCGAGTCATACTGGCCAGTGCCCATTTTGTAATTTTAAAGACAGGAATCAGTCTTAGGTAGAATGCACCATGCAAAGATGGTGATATTAGCGATATAACAGTTATTGGGAATCTCCTTTTCTTACCCCTTTCCAAGAAAGGGGTGTCAAAGTTGTGTTTCTAGGCCAAGAGTGATGAAGAGGTGGGTGAGCAAAGTTCTCCCAGTTTCTGTCCCTGAGAGGAGGATGAAGCTGGGACATACCAGCAAGGGACAGGGTGACAACAAGTGCTTGAAGCCCAGTTGGCAGATTGACCCTGAATGCATTATGGAAGAGGATGGGCATTCTGTGACTGCAGAGGATGAGAACTGCAGATTCTTCAAAGATCTGATGACTGTGCCTCTTCTCACATAATGGCCATAGAGATCTAGGGGCGGGGAGGGGATAGAGATGCTCATGTCCTGGGGATCTTCACTTTCCTAAATGAAAATTGATTCCAGTTGCACTAAAGTATAAACATAAAGATTCTCAAGTGGCCTTTGTTTAAAGTTATCTTCACCTACCAATCTGGAAATAACATCAATACTTGTCTTGGGATTTTCATTGTATCTGGTAAAAAAAAAAAAAACATAATTTTAGTTTATATATAAAGAATGGCATTTGTGGGCTCCTTGTAAATTGGCAAGACATGCTGAACACTCCAGATTAGAGTGGTTATAGGGGGTTACACTTGATTGTGGAGATGTGCACACAAGGTGACTAGGACTCAGTGTGAATCTGAGAAGAAACTGTGGTCCCATTAGCTTCCTATTCTAGCTATCAGTGATGGATGGTTTCTATCTGGACTGAAGGAAATACCCAACATTCAAAACTGATATAAATAAACTTCACTATGGGAGGTAGTGAGTGGTGCTGAAGAGAGTTTAGAAAAAAGAATCTGTTTTGATGAATAATACACTTAACATTTGCAACACCTTCTCACCATGCATGATCTATCAGTACCCAGCTGCATCTTTCTGAGCCCAGAAGAGATATAATGCAACTCAGGCTGTAAGGATATTTATCCAGGAATAAAATAGAGAGCAAGGATGGTGGTGATCAGCACACTACTCATAACACCCAACCTCTACATGGCAGGAGGGATTCTGTGCCAGCTGAAGTCTTCTGCTCAGAAGTTTATTTTCCATGCACCCAAAAGCTTGTACTTAGCTTCAAAGGAATTTGAATCATACCCTTCAATCACCTTCACTCTATCCTTACAGCTTTGCACAGTCTCCTATAATCAAGAAACAAAGCTTAAGGGACTATTTTTTTTTAAGATAAAACTTTGACCTGAACTGCATCCAATTCTCAACTAACATTAGCCCAGTTCATAGTAAGCAAGTATGACATCATTTCTAAAGTCAAATTTTAACTTCCAGATGGTGCAAAACCACAAACAGGCACACAGGCCTTCTGATGAACAGAAGTTTAAATACAGGGAAGATCAGGCAAGAAAGAATATAGTCTATTAAAAATTAGAAAATGTAGTTTCAAATTGGGTATCAATGAGTAGGATTAAAGTTCTCCTCACTAATATTTGGACTTCAATCAACAATGTATATCAGTTAAAAAAGAAAAGCCTTGAAGTTTAGATTATATTCCAACATCAGGTAGAGATATAAAAGTTAAAATGTTTGAGAATATGAAATACTTTTCTTTGTCTCTTCACTCAACACCAAATAATTTTAAGGGCCCTCGACTCTCTCTCTTAAACTTTGGCAGTTGACTCAATAATAAAACTTGGCAAAGTAAAAAGCACCATCATTTCCCAGAAAAACAAAAGAAAATTAGAACTGTATGATATAGTCAGTACATAAAGACCCATAGGTTGAGTTTCCAATTTTTACTTATGACTCAACTGCATGGGAACTAGTCACCTAATGTTAAAACTAGGACAATCTTTTCATTTTAGGAGAATTACTCATTTCCTTCTGATCCAGTTATGTATGTATTTCTGTGTGTGTGTGTGTGTGTGTGTGTGTGTAAGAGCATATAACATATGAAAATTTAACCTTTTATCTGGCAGTATAAAACACAAAACATTTGTTATCACTTCAGTTCCAGGTAATAACTTGAAAGAAAAGGACCATGGCAATGAAATTGGCAAAAAATTGCCAAAATCAGAGTTAAACATTATTAATCTTCATGTCAGCACCCAGGAATTATAACCAGTTCCAATGGTGAGGTATGTTTGTAGAAGTTCTATACATAAGCCTCCTGACCTTTCTGCCATATTTTACATGGGCCTTCAGAAACGGTTTTAATGTTGTGACAAAACACTAAGTGCTACTTGATGTGCCATAAATAATTTTTTTTTAATCAAACGGTTCATTTCAATGTTAAAATGACTACAGTAACACTTGAGGAAAAAAGAAACACTTCAGAGAGAAAAAGGGGCCACTTGAAATTTTTCACAGATTAAATACTACTTACTTGACAACGCTTCAGGAATTGAATAAACATAGTATCACAAAGGACAACTTTAAAAGAAAATGAAACTGGAACACTCACAAAAGCTCCCAATATAGTTTTATTTCACATTCAAAGTTTTGTTTGTTTGTTTTTCCTAATAATAGAATTGGGTTAAGGGTATATTTGAATTTCATTCAACTTGCAATCATTCAAATGGAGAGACAGTTTTAAAGCTTGAAGTATGCATAATGTACACAGCCTCCAAAGACACAAACACTGAAAATAACCTAAAATCTAAAACTTGCTGTGGTAGTAACCACGACTTCTTACTCATATCCAATTTCCCTTTCCTCCCTGAACACAGGGAAGCTCTCCCTTGCAGGAAGATGGGGCCATCTGTTTCATTCATGAAATATAAACAGAAGTGGCATACATCACTTCCTGTCCAGCCCCCCAGCCCCAACTCTTCCCCTTCCTCAGAGGCCTTGGAAGCCACTTTTTCAGGATGGTGGAGCTACAAGATGGCAGAAGCTCCCTAAAACCGGATCCTCAAGAGACCACAAGAAGGGGTAACATCCCCGACCTTCCTCTCACCAGTCCCCAACCCCTAACATGGGTTGGGCTTATAGTATAACATATTAAACTGTTCAGAAGTCACTATAATAATTTCCTATTTTTGATAAGATGTGAGCACCTTAAAACCAAAAAGATTTGTCTTTAAGATTACCATAAACCTAAAACAAATAGGGCCATTGTACCTCCCTCTACTCCTTCTATGTGTAAGACCTTAAAATCTACTTTCCTCTATCTTTTCACACCAAATGCAAAGAGAGGGGAAATGACAGAGAGCCAAGGACATGACTAAAAGGAAGAGGTAGGGAGTGGACTCACAGGTTAAAGATCAAGACCTTGGGGAAAAGAAAGAAAGAGAATGAAGAAGAAGAGTCTCCTTAAACTCACTGGCTTAAACTCCATTTTGTATAGATAAATGGCCCAAGTGGATAACTCTGCTCTGCAAAAGTCTCTGCATTAGAAATATATTGTTCAAGTAACTCATGGCAATGGTCATTGACTTACCCACAGGCCTTCCAAATATTGGGAAGAACACTAAGGTGTTACAAGCAAAATGAGAATAATACAGAACCTCCTTCATCAAGTTATTTTGGAGATTAATTGAATAACATGTAATGTACTTAGCACACTGCCTGGCACCCAGAAGCACTCAATAAATTTTTGCTATTGTTACTATATTTTATTATTCTGCTTTCCACAGCTTCTAAGCCAGTGATTTATATACTGTAGGAATGCAATAAAGGTTGCTAATCAACAGCCTTCAGGAAAGGGGAGAACCAGCAAGTAAGGTTTTGTGCTCTCACATGTACCTGGGTATTATAGTGTCTGTCATTTACTTTAAATTATTTCAGCACAGCCTGCACGATATGTGTGCCCGGGGCGGGGGGGTGTCTGAGTAGGTGAGTGGATGGGTGTATTTCCCAACTGGGAATAAATCCTTCAGGGTAGTTAATTAGCCTATGAAAGATTTTAATTAAAAGCTGACATGCCAGAGTCAGCTACCAAAAGCACCTCGGTGTTCTCTCCATTGACAAACACCTGAAATTTGGTCAACTAATGCAAGGAGAGATGTTTTCTTTGGTGG